TGTTCCTTTGTTCTGTTATAAAGCCACCTTCCTTCAAATCCAGCTTGGCTTTGATACAAATCTCCTGGATTTTACCATTCAAAACTTGAATTTCTCCCAGAAGATTTTCTATAACAGCTTTTTCCTTTTTAAAAGATTTTTCCTTTAAGTTTCTATCTTGCTCCAACAATTCCAATCTAAAATTAATATTTTTTAAAATGCTCTTAGAGTCAATAAGGGCCTTAACTCCTTTTAACTCCTTGAAGTTATCCATCTTGAAAATAGACAATGAATTAAAAATTGTTTTATTAATTTTTTAAAATTATTTTTAGACTCCACTTTTTCAGATATTTTCACTGAACAGTGAAAATAGGCAAGATTATTTAATTTATATATTTGGACATAATAACCTCACTGGACTGGGAAGGTAAAAATTATCTTTATATTTTTTTGACCTCTCGTGTTTGGATTTATTTCACTAAACAATGAAAGTAAAAATTGTCATTGTATATTTTCTCAGATATAAAATCAGTAGATTATTTTGGAGATATCTTCTTTCATATAAAAGGACCACAGTCTATTAGATATTTTTTCTCTCTCCACATTTTTATTGTCAAATCTGTCTCAATTTTATAACAAAATTGCTTTATATGTTGAGAAATTTCTCACATATATATAGCAAATACTTTTTGTTTAGTGAATTTGCATTCATGTTGGGTAAAATTGCTTACCTGCAAATACGTTTTTAGTAAAATGTGGGAAATTTAACAATTCCCCAAACTGATTTGTGGTTTGATAAACAAAGCAAGACAATTGAACATTGTAAAAACATACTTTATACAAGAAACACAATACATAATGAGAAAGAGAATAGAGGATTGCTAAAAAATGTATTCTTTTAGCAGTTAAAGTGAAAGCATCGGAGACAAAATCTGTATGAAATAGATGATACACTTATCTGAATAGTGCTCATATTCTGCTTGTATTAGCTGCATTGTCTTCACATTATTCTGTTTAGCTTGTGACCAACATGCCTGTTCTTGAGTGGGCTGGAAACACATCTTTATTCTAGATCTTCTTGGCATCTGAAGTTGGTGCTCAAAACCCTATTTTGCACTTAATCTGGGGTTATGCCCATTATCATCAGTCTAATAGACTCTTCTCATTATCAGCAGGAGCCATCTACCAACGGGAGATGGCCTATATTTTTTATAAGTTTTGTGAATGTTACAACTTTTTTAAATAAAAATATGTTATACTGAAAAATATTTTATACTAAAATAAACAAATTCATTTAATTTTTGCCATACACTGTCTACATCTATCTATTTAGTGTTATATACAAGAAACATTCAGCATTCATTGACCAAATAGCATTACTGTCAGTTGAAATTTATAAGATCTTTCTCTGAAAATAGTTTTTTAGGAAAATAGACTTGTTTATTGTAGTGTGTGTTTAAATGAATTCTAATTGAGCTCTATACTTGTAGAAAATACAAGCATAATAGTCTCAACATGTAAAAAAAAGACTAAAAATAATGGAAACACTAATAATAAAAAAAAAATAGCCAACATTCAATAACATCATTCAATAAAATAAAAAATTCCTATAAAATTCCTATAACTCTAGATATATAAAACTATCCAGACATTCAGTTAAAAGTAAAAGGAAAATCATCCTTGATAATGACTAACCAAAAAGCACTTGGACATACAGAAAATTTTGACAATTTCTACATAATTTATGTCTAGAAGAGAATAAAATTATAAGAACACAAGAAAAATTAAATAAAAAACTTAACGGCATTACCTTGTCAGTCATTTTGAGTGAAATTTATCTATATCTATCTATCTATCTATCTATCTATCTATATATATATATATATGAGAGAGAGAGAGAGCTGCTGCAACAATAACACCAATGCCTCCAACAAGACACTCATTAGATGATGAGTCTGGATTTAGGGGCATGGTTTCGGAGTCACATCATCATTACCACTAACCCAGGGCACCCTAGCAATGCCTCATGATATCATCAAGCTTTGCTGTTTCTCCACTACATTGTAGGCATACGAGATGCAGGAAAATGTAGTTTCTGTCATCTTTGATATCTACCGGAGATCGGTCAGATATATCAAAGCTATTGCATATGATCACCAAAGTTAAGCAATGTTGAGCCTGATCAGTACCTAAATGAGTGACTGATTGGGAATATCACATGCTATAAGCTTGGATGTGTGGTTGATATTCATGATATTCACTTGTGTGCAAATATACTTGGGAAAGGTATGAATACACCTCTTCACACCAGCTAGTGGTTAATTAGTAGAACTAGTATCAGTAAATCATTATCATATCCAAAAGAATTCTTACAATGTAAAAATATTTTCTGGCTTTAAATAACCTGGAAAAGGTTGATAAAAACAAATCAGTCAGTAATCCTGCCACTATGAAGGGTGCAACTAAGAAAAAATAATCACCAAACAGAAAAATGCAGATGCAAACACACACACACACGCACACACACAAGGGTGTATTAATAAGTCTACAGCTTGACAGTTATTAACTGAATTTTGATCTGATATATGGTAATGGTAATACAAGGAAACATTTGGCATTCACTGACTGAGCAGTCAGTATTACTTTCAGTTGAAATATATAAAATTTTTCTATTAAAATAATTTTTTCTGGAAAATAGGTTTCTCAATTCCATTAATTGTTATCACTCTTTTCAGTATTGATGAGGGTAGTGTTCCTTCATAACTTTTTTGAGAGAGTGTCCTTAAGTTTTGTTGATGGTTATGGCAGAGATGAACATTACTGGGAATTAAAGTGGTTCAAATTCAAGGAGCAAGTCTTTTGGAAACACATTCTCCCTTTTGCCTACTACAGAATGGAGAGCTGCCTTGATGACATGTGGAAATAGCTGCTTGGCAGCTAGAAAAATTCCTCTCCAGAATTTTGAAGAGTCAACCATTGAGACATCCCAAACTTTTAGTTGAAGCTTGTGGGGAGGAACACATGGCAAATCTAGAGAGATTAGGAACTCAATTGAATTCTGAACAGCTTCCAAAGTGTCTGGAACTGTATCAGTTGCCTTGGAGAGCTGAACCTCTCCAGAAATCTGTAACAAAAGCATTTATTTCTTTGCTTCCAAGAATACTTTACTCCAAAAACCACAGGTAGTTTCTATAGTTTTGGACTATTTTTCACATTTAAAACAACTAAAAAGCTTTTTCTTGAATATATATATATATATATATATATATATATATATATATATATATATATATATATATTGATCTCTAGTGACCTATAATTCTTGATGGTCAACAATGCTTATCTTCTCATTTAAATTACTTCCACATAGAAATTTACTTCCAAAAATAAAATAGTTTGGCTAATTGGCTGTAAGAGAGGTTAAATATATCACAAAAATAATTTTATGTACAATGACCTCCACTGGTCTCAGATGTCAAGTTTGACTTTATCTGCTCTACCACTATTTTTTTTTTTACAACAATGTTAACCTTGTACAAGGCCCAATCTTAACAACAGAATACAAAGAGAATGAGGGTGGTTCACTACAATGTGTGTGGCATGATGGATCTTCGCCATGAAGGTTTGAACTTTCTGTTTTATAATCGTTGCTATCTGCTATCTTTTGTTCATCTTTCTTTTCTTTCATTTTTATCTCTTATTTCATTCTTACTTTTTTTTACAATAATGCTCATCATGTAAAAGGCCCAAGAACCACTCAAAATTGAGGTCTACAGAGTAAGAGGTACAGTTTATGGGAAGAGAACAGTTAACCCTAGATTTGAACAAGATTTCAGTGATTGAGGAGGCATCCTCTTGGGAGTCAGTTCCACAAAGCAGCAGTTTGTGAGAAAAAGCTGCTCAAGTGGAACTTCCTTCTTACTGATGGAATACATTGTTAGAACAAAGAAATATTCCTGTACTTTATAGCAAATAATATTTCAGTTCACTTTGCTATAAATGGATTCATTTGGCTAGAAATGACATGATATACGAGTTGATAGCTTTGACTGACGTTCAAATGACCTCCCATGTCATGTTTACATAGCTTATGATATTACTTTAGGTCATGCTGTTATCTATTCAAAAATTTGGGTTTCTCAGACTTCCTGTTTGGCTGTGATGTTAAAGTATACAAAAGTGCACAAACATTGGCATATTAATATAAATAATGAACAACATTATCTTCGATATGATTGCCATAATGAACAGTGACATTATTATCCTTATCATAAACATAAAAAACACAAGCATTATAATCAATACCAGTATCATAACTGTTATGGAGTTATTTCGCAGTGGACGCTTGTATTTGTACTAAGTCGGTCCTAAAATAGGTTCGACGTACAAAACGTTAGGAACTTGATATAATAGGTATAACGCAGAGTAATCTAGTTGTGGTTGCTGATACTTTAATATCCGACTAGCAGTTGTCTGGCATTGACTGACTGACCGACCCACTGAGCAACTCCTCGTTACTCTTACTACTCCCACTTATTATAGTTGGGAGAGTCTATTAACTATAGAATAGGTGTGTTCCACTATAACAATAACAAACACCTGCATTTACATCAGTACAATTACACCAGCATTATTATCATAATCCTTACCATAATGTTCACTGATATTATCATCAGTATTAATGCCATAATGAACACTAGTATTAATATCATTTCCATAATGTACATGAACTTTATCATCAGTATTAATGCCATAATGAACACTAGTATTAATATCAATGTCATTATCATAATGAACACCAGCATTATAATCAGTATTATCACCATAATGAACACTGACATTATCATCAGTATTATTGCCATAATGAACATTGACATTATTATCAATATAATCACTATAATGAACATTATCATTATTTATATGCAGACTATTGTCGTCATCTTTGTTGTTGATTACTGATTATCATCAGTATCATGACCATAACAAACTTCAACATTATCATCTGTATTGTTGCCAACCAGTATTATCTACTCATCACCATGAACACTATTACAGCCATTCATTCATTTATTTCATCTCCTCTTTTGTCTTTCTCTCCTTTATTGTGGAGGAAAAGCAAGAATCCTAATTCAATTAAGTTGTCCACTCATCGTAATAACATTTGGTTGATATTTTCTAATTCAATTCCCTCTGTCCGTATTTTACTTGCTGACTTTATTCTGTTTCAATAACAGCGGAAAAATAAATTGCATCATTGATTCAAACTGCCCTCCCTTGGATTCATTGTCTCTCACTCACAAACCTCTCTCTCTGTCTTATTTTTTCCTTACTTTCTACTATTGTCCTCAATTCCCTTTTTCTCATACCCATTTTTACCTTACCTCTTCCCTCCTTCCTTCACTTTTTCTTTCTTTCTTTCTTTTTTTCTTTCTTTGCCTCTCTCATCCCTTATCTTTCTTTTATCTGCCTCACTCCTTTTCTTTCTTTCTTTCTTTTTTCTTTCTTTCTTTCTTTGCCTCAGTCATACCTTATCTTTCTTTTATAAGCCACACTCCCTTTTTCTTTCTTTGTCATACTCACACCTTATCTTTATTCTTCTGCCACACTCTCTTTCTTTCTTTTTTCTTTCTTTCATTGCTTCACTCATACCTTATCTTTCTTTTATCCGCTGCACTCTTTTTCTTTCTTTCTTTCTTTCTTTCTCTCTCTCTCTTTCTCTCTTTCTTTCTTTCTTTCTTTGCCTCACCCCTACCTTATCTTTCTTTCATCTACCCCACCCCTACTCTTTCTTTCTTATTCCCTTTACCCTCTTTTTATCTATTGCTTCCCATCTGCTTCTAGCCTTCTCTTCCCATCACCTTTCCCCTACTTCAAGGCTTTTTGTGCCCATGCTTAAACTTAACCTTTCTCATATGATTTTACTTTGTGAGATTAGCTTTTCTGAGAAGTGCACAGACAGTGAGGCTAGTTATCATATACCTATTCAGAAGAATCAAGACCCAAATTTAAAAGGAAAACAAAATTAGCTTACATTGATAGCCTGCCTTGTGCTCGTAATCATATTTGTGCTTAACCATATCGGACGAGTCATAGAGGAGAGGGTTGATGGTATTCTGCTCCAAGAATCATGCTGGTTAAATTTGCATCCATTCTAGAGAAAAAAAATCTCATTTCAAACAACTTCTCATTCAAACAATAAATAAATTTGATATATGAATTCCTGAGAAATTACGTATTTATAACAATGGGTTGCTCTTTTGGGTTCTCCCGAGAAATTAAAATATGAGGTTAAGTAAAAAATTATCTGCACTTTAACCCATAGCATATCTTCAGGTTTTTTACACTGTTTTCTGCTCATGTGGGCTTATAGTTGGTACTACTGTGGTCGTGTGATTGAAGTTTGAACTTGATCGTACCAGTTTTTTTTTGCTGCTGTTACAATGTAAACATGGCCGCCTTGCTAGCAGTGTGCACCAAGGAGGGACAAAGAGCAGTGATCTAAATCTGCAGAGAACATTCTGCCTCATTGATGATAATTTGTTGGTTCCACATTACCATCTCTCAAGCTTTCTCAATCTTCTCGTTAGTGGTTGAGGATGATGGGTATCCAGCGCCTTCTTCAGGCGTCATGCACTCATGCACGTCTGGCCACTTTTAAACTTCTCCATCCACTCATACACACTTCTACACATTAGCACACTCTCAATATTTTGTGTTAGAAGCCTCTGATGAATTTAACTCCCTAATACACCTTTCAATCAGAGAAATCAAATCACTGCTCTTTGTTACTCCTTGGTGCTTAGCAGCCATGTTTACACAGCAATAAAATTGGTGCAATTAAGCTCAAATCATGTGACCACAACAGTACCAACTAAAAGCTCACATGAGAAGAAGGTGGTTTGACAAACCTAAATATATATGTTATGGCAAAAGTATGGATAATTTTACTTACCCTTGTATAACAATAAAGATTTACCCATCTCCATCTCTCTGAAAATAGAACATTCTCCTGACAGCTTTTGAAAATGGCATAAAACAAAAAAGCAATTGTCATTAATTTATATGGGAAAAAACTTTCAGTGTTTTCAGACCTAAAAAAATAACTATCACATTTTTGCTATCTGTCTATATTTCTGAGATGAGGTATGTTGTCCTCATCTTTGTTGCCATATTCACAACGTACACTCCGGCCTTCTTCAGGTGATTGGAATTTCGAACTGAACCTATTATTTCATCCACCAGAGTAGATTGTTTTAGTTCCACACCTCTTCTGGATATTTCAGTATCAGTTATCTCCCTTTAACTCAACTCTCCAATTTTTTCGTTCACCTCAGCTGTAGCCAGGTACTGAACTCTCTAAGTCAGGTCATTGGATTCAACCAATGTTTTTATCCACTAGGTCTTGAGGACATCAGAGTATGAATTTTTGGGACTTATAAACCTAATGTCTCAGTATCGTTTTTTTTATCAGATCTCATATTGCAATTTTGTTATTGTTATTGTTTTTCTTGAGCACTCCATATTACTGGTTCCCATATTGTATTGGGCAGCTTAGGAGATTTTTGTGGCTTAGTATATGTGCTGATTCCTTAAATTTTCATATTTTCCATTGATGTTCTCTGTCTATTATTTCAACCTCATCCCACAGAGGGTGATGATCTCCATTTTCCATCCATATATGGTCAGCTACACCTGATTTTTCTATTTCCTTTTGTATTATGCCTTTTGGTGTTCCTGCAGTCTTATCTTAAGGGAGTGGTCTGTTTCTCCTTTACATTTTTTACCACAGCTCCATGGAATGACGCTCATACAGCCCTTAATTATGTTCTGCTCTATGGGAGGTCTTACTCAGAACAGGTGTCTGCGAAGTGTTGAACCACATTTAAAGGCTGTCCTGATGTTATATGGACCACAGATCTTTTGTATTTTTCCTGATAATCCCTTCACATAGGATAAGCTGACTAAGGCTGTTTTCTGGATGTTGTTATCCTCTTGCACCTTTCTATATCAGTTTGTGAGCTGCTGTCATCTACTCAGGGTAGTTGTTACATTGTTATATTGTAGGGTACTGCTTATACTGAGCATTTCTTGTTCATATGTCTCTGGGTCACCACTTATGACTTTTACTTGATATTGTAAGCAGCAGATGATTGCTGTATATGTGGTAGAAGTTGAGATATTTTCCAGTGAATGTTAGCATGTGGTATACGGATGTCTTGAACCCATGCTCTGTTCAAGATATTAGTACATCCAGGAATGCTAATTTGTTGTTTTATTTCTCTCTCCATTGTGAACTATATTGATGATCTTACTGAATTCACATGGTCCAGTAGTAGCCACAGAAGGCCCAAGTGTACAATGGCTGAAACATTGTGAATATGACAACAAAGATGAAGACAACTGTACAGTGTGAATAATATAAATAATCACATTTTTGCTCTTGAGATTCTTGACAAAATTCAAGGTTTGTTATATGGTCGATCCTGACCTGGCATCTTGATTTCAGCCACTTTCACATCAGCAGGATATGAGTTCTGTCTATCTTTTCTACAAATATTTTCATGGCAATTGTTCTGATGAGCTCTTTTCCCTAGCACCTCAACTACATGAATTTAATTTGGCAACTAGGTCTCACTGTTTTAATATTGAAGTAGCTCAATGCAACTGTCAGTTTTATTCTAATAGTTTCTTTTCTTGCACTTCTCACCTGTTGAACTCCCCGCCAATTTCTTGCTTCCCTGTCACCTACAATCTTCTACTTAACTGAACACTGTTCTTTTATTGTCCTTTCCTCAGTTTTCTTCATTTATGTTTTCTTATTCTCTTTCACTCCCTGTAACCCTCTATGTCCTAGTGGCATTATTGCCTTGCTTGGGGTGAGATGATAAAAAAAAATCACAATTCTCTAATGATTGCAGATATGTATAGCTAATTTTGAAAATGCAAATAGGTTTAGTGAAGGTTTCCTGGGTTTTTTGAGTGTCTACAACGAATTCTATGATAGAAAAAGGCATGAGACGAAGCAGTTAAGCCTACCAAACTTTCCATATCAGCCTCAAATGATGATAAAAATTGATCTTTGAGATGGAGGCAGACTGACATAAAAAGTTATTTGGTGGGGGGTGGTGTCTGATAATGCTCAAAAAAGTTCCACCTACTAATATAAATTAATGGAAAATGATTCACAGACGAAATATCACAAGCCTGTTGTTACTCTAGTGATATTTCCATGGCTAATGCTCTGACAAGCTACATTTCTTAGTTCCACCAGTTCAGATCATTCAGAGTTAGGATTTACATGCCACATATATCATGGTTGAATCATAGACATTTCCTTCATATTCTATTTGTAAGAAGAGTTTTATTTGGACATATTTCTCCTAAGACCTGCTACTCTGTGGAACAGACTCCCAAGAGGATACTTCCCTGATCATTGCAATCTTAACGGCTTCAAGTCTTGGATCAACTGTTATCTATTTTCAACAATCTCATTCAGTAATCCTCTACCTTGAGTGTCTCTTTGGCTTTGTACTAGGTAATTGTTGCATCTGGTAATACTTAAGTGTCATGTAGTATTTATATGTATATGATAAAAATAGCTTTATGCTATATTTATGGGCGAAAGTGCTCAATATCAGATATATATATATATATATATATATATATATATATATATAGGATAATAAAATCAAATTTGTGATATAGCTGATGGATATATATATATATATATATATATATATATATATATATATATATATATATATATATATATATACAAAGTTAAAAAATTAATTTATTTTTAATTTTATACTAATTTTAATTTATTTTAGACAAAGTTAAAAATTAATTCAAGGAATATATATATATATATATATATATATATATATATGAAGAAATATATTTTTAAGGTCTGCTATATTTATGGGATAAAGTGCTCAGTATCAGAGATAGAGTGTATGTAAATATAAATATAAAAGTGAACATTGAAGTCAACACGCAGATCGTCAGTCCACGTATGTTGAATTATTCTTTGACTATTTATATATATGGGTCAGTGATGGATTGTGGGTAATCTATTCTGGCAGTTATTTTTGTGGGAGTGGCTTGTTTATTTATTTATTTGTTTGGGTTAATTTATTTTAATTGTTTTTCATTTTCATTTTGTATTATTTATTCTTTTCGGTTTTTGATGGTTTATTAACGTAGTAAAAAAATTAGGTTGGGGGTTGCTTAGGTTGCTTATTTAATTGTTTCTTTTTGGTTTGGGAAGTAAAGCTATTTATTCATCCAATATTTAGATTGCTTGCTATAGTCTATTCTGTTATTTTGGCGGAGGGACAATTTTTAATTTATTTATTTTGATTGATTATTTTTACTTGTTTTTGCTTATTTATGTTTATTTTTATTAGTTCTAATGGTTATTTTAGTGGAGACAATTTGTTAATTTGATCATTTATTTATTTATTTGGATTAATTTTTATTTGTTTTTTATTTATTTGCTTATTTTTTATTTTCTATATTTTTATTTACTCTATTTGGTTTTCAATTTTTGAGTAATGTAGTAATGCTTTTTTTATTGTTATATAGCAGTTATAGCTATTTTTACGTACAATTTTTGGATTGGTTGTTGTAGTCTACTCTAACAGTTATTTTGGTGGGATTGCTTTGTTAATTTGTTTATTATTATCTAATTTATTTATTTATTTGGGTTGATTATTTTTACTTGTATATACATATATACACATATATACATATATATATATATACATATACATATATATATATATATATATATATATATATATATATACATATATATATATATATATATATATATATAT